ATCTACCTGTGAATTGGCACAATAATATTGACTTCAGCAACATTCAAAATGGCTTTGTTAGGAGGGGAGCGTATATCTATGTGCCTCTTATACCATGCAAATTAACTGCTTTACATTCTGACTCCATTTTTAGTATGCATCTGTCCAAACCCATTCTTGGGAATGCAATTTAAGTTAAACAAATATATTTGTTAATCAGGCTTTGGTTAAATGGAATTGCATTTATAATTCCATTCCACATAGCTTGCACAATAGATTGTTCCTAACCAAATACCCCATGCAGAGTACTGCATTATGTAAATGAGAATTCTCTGAAAAATCTGGTAATATTTGTTTAATTGTAATAATTGTATATTGTAGTATATTTAAATGCTGTTTGGTTAAAAAAAAAAAAAGGGGAGGTCAGTGATTTAGTTCCTGCATGATTCTTCATATTTGTCTGTAGATGCAAGTAAACGCATTTGTGACATCTAAGTTTCTAGCCAAACTTCACTTTCTATTGGCTGGAAAAAGCCAGAATAGTAACTAATCAAATGTTTCACTGAGTATGAGTGAGTGACGTGTAGCTTGTAGTGTAAAGAACGGAATATAACATTTATGATGGAGGCGATCATATGATCATAGCACTACTGAACCTTTCAAAGTTGTAGTATAGCCGAAAGTTAACCAAGAAGAGAATTGTATGAAACTTCATTTTAAACAGTAACATCTGTTCATCTGTTTGGAAAAACTGAGGCATATGCTGCTATTTCAATTAAACTCTAATCCATTCAGTGGTTTATAGCTACTCAAGAATTATGTAATTTTCCACACCTCTTAAAAACAAAAATAAAGAGAATTTACATGTTTGTATTGAAGTTTACTGTTACTTATTCTGCCTTTCTGTTTACATTTATATAATTCATTGCATGGACACATTGACGACACCCTGTTTATCAAAGGGAAATAATATTTTTGTGAATCTGATCCAGCTACACACACTTTAAAAGGCAGTGATATGTCAAGATTGTGAGCTGTGATCTCAGCAGTTATCATAAGCACCAGCAGACTTGGTTCACACTTGAGGAAAACCAAAGTGCTGCAGATATTGGTGTTGGCCATTCAACACCTCAGGTACAGCAAGATATCACTCCACTCCATGTCTCCACTTAATCCCCATTTTAGAACATGGATAAAAAATGTCTGTATAGTTTAAAAAAAAAATGCTCAGTGAGTTTCTTTCCTAACTCTGAGGCCTTTACTCTCTCTTTATGACCATCTAATATTTTCAGATCACCTGAAATCTACTCTCGTTCTATTTATGTACTATTTCTACTCTTGAGATGACTCTTTGAAAACTGTGTATTAAGCTTGCATAATAACAGAGCATTGTTCATTGTAGTGGTAGGACCACAGTATTAAGGGGAAAAGGACTCTAAAACCAAACATGATATACTCATGTCTACTTTATTTTAAGGTTTACCATCCTGTGATGGTGGCCTCCCTTCAATCTGGCTCATAGATTCATAGATCGTAGAGTTGGAAGGGACCACAATGAATCATTGTGTCCGACCCCCTGCCCCTGGCAGGAAGGAGGACCGAGGTCAGATGACCCCAGCCAGGTGACTATCTAGCCTCCTCTTGAAGACCTCCAAGCTGGGTGATAGCACCATCTCTCTTGGAAGCCCATTCCAGATCCTGGCCACCCTTACTGTGAAAAATGTCTTCCTAATAGCTAACCTAAATCCACTCTCAACTAGCTTACACCCGTTATTCCTAGTCAATCCCTGGGGCGCCTTAGTAAACAGCGCTTCCCCTATTCCCTGTTGACCTCCCTAATAAATGTATAGGCAGCCACAAGATCTCCCCTCAGCCGTCTCTTGTGAAGGCTGAAGAGATTCAGCTCTCTCAACCTCCCCCCATAGGGTCTATCACGAAAGCCACTAATCATGCGAGTGGCCCTCCTCTGGACCCTCTCGAGATTCCCCGCGTCCCTCTTGAAGTGCGGCGCCCAAAACTGGACACAGTACTCCAACTGCGGCCTGACCAGTGCCACATAGAGGGGGAGCATCACCTCCTTTGTTCTATTAGTCATGCACCTGCTAATTCATGACGAGGTGCAATTAGCTTTGTTGATGGCCTCATTACACTGCCGGCTCATGTTCATCTTGGAGTCAATTATGACTCCAAGATCCCTCTCTGCCTCTGAGCTGCTGAGAAGGACACTCCTCAACCTATAGGTGTGCTGGGAGTTCCTCCTTCCCAGGTGGAGTACCTTACATTTATCTTTATTAAATTGCATCCTATTTCTCTCTGCCCATTGATCCAACCTGTCCAGGTCAGCCTGAATCTGCTCCCTGCCCTCTGGTGTACTAACTTTGCCCCATAACTTGGTATCATCAGTGAACTTGGAGAGGGTGCTCTCCACGCCCTCGTCCAAATTGCTGATGAAGATATTGAATAATATCTTCCAGTGAACAATTCTCTCTCTTGAGAAACGTCCATTTTAATCGTGTTCCTTTGTCCTTCTTTGTTCAGACTTTTTCTTCTCTGGATCTTGTACCTCAGCTGCAGAGGCAGCAGAATTGTTAATAATGGTGTTTCTGTCACTGACCCTTAACAACTCTTAAGCCACTTTTTAGCCAGTGTCTAAAGCCATTTATTCCTTTTCCCTGTTTTTCCAGACAGATTCTTGTTGAATTAAACTAACTTTGCTATAAAGAACGCACACGGAGAATCATAAATTACCATGAGGCTCTTTGAACATATAACCTTTACTTACAGTATGGGATATCCTGCCTTTATATTTAGTTTGATATTTTAAGTCTCACTGTGGTCTAAAAAAGTATCTATGGGCAGAATCCTACTGAGGTTGAAACTGAGAAATTCAGTAATATTCATGGAGCCCTTGTTGTGTGGTTAGTACAGACTTCAGCTTCAGGCAGAATATCTAATTGTCTCTAAATCAAAGAACCAGAAGGTGGTAGCCTTCCAACTTTCCTGATTGACAACTCCCTCCCATCTGAGCTCTGACCATCTCTCCCAACATTTAAAATGCTGACATCCTGAATCATTTATCTCTCAAACAGGTGGGAAAAGGAGGGTTGACAGTAACCCTGAAAGGGAGGATATTGCTATGAGAGAGAGGGGAAACAGCTTGTTGCATGATGCAAGATGTTGGAGGTTGAAGGATATCCTTGAAATAGAGGTAGATTTTATAGAGAATTGGCAAGGGGACATAAGGAAATGGAAAGATGGAAAAAAGTCCTTACTTGGTGCGATAAGTTTGGCACATTTGCAGGCATATGGACACATTTATATGCTCTTAAATTGATACACCCAAGTACCCGATTATGGAAGATGCATTCAGAAAATTTTTTTTTATACTTTCACAATAGGTATTTCCCCATAGAATGGATCTATAAAACTGTGTGCTTGCAGTTGCATAAATCTAACTGAAATTTTTTTTGTGATGCACTGTATAATGTAACAAAACAATAGTATTACCCAAATATAAATTCTATATTAAAAGGCCATTATTAACATTGCATAGTCAAACACCCAAAAGTTAAGAAATGTCAGAATTAGTATTACTGATGCACAGCTAGGCAATATTTTGCTCTTGTCCTTTTGTTTAAGTCTTGGGGTCACACATTGTATATTACAAACTACTCAAACATAGACCTTTCTTTGGGAACAGAATTACCAATTACCTTATAGGATTTTCTATGACACTTAACACTATGAATGCTTTCCAAACATAAAATTATCTTAACAAAACTCTTATGAGGTTATATTAACTGCATTTTAAAGATAAGAAACTGAGATACAGAAAGATTAAGGCCAAATTTTGGTGCCCAATTTGCATTGCATAGAAACTGATTTTTCAGAATACTTAGATTTGTTTAGCATTTCATAAATATAAGCATAGCTTGCATTCACTTGAGTTACAGTTGTGAGAACACTGAACTTCTGTAAATTGGACCCCAAGGTATTAAGATAAGTATAAAAAAACGGGGAATGCACAATTAGTTTGGTTGAAGGGATTTTCTCAGCATCACCTAGGACCTTGGTAAGAGAAGCAGGGATAGAATCTAATTCTCCAGGGTAGCACCCCAGAAACCTTTAACTCAGACATCTCCTTTTCTCCTCTTGCAATTCACTGTTTTTATTTGCTTTAACCTGCTGTAAAAAATGAAGCAGGTGTCCAGCGACAACAGTGTTCCTGATCACAGAGGTTTTATGAGGATAAGATATATTAATGACTTAAGGTGCTTCCATATTATGGTTATAAAGGTCACATAAGGACACACAGAATATGTCATTTATTTGTATAGCATAATATATAATATATGTTATACATACTCATACGTAATGTAATATATTATTTGCCAGATTAGGCAGAGTCTCCTTTGATTTTAAGAATGCCTTTTCAGTGTGAGATGACAAGAAAATACAACTATGTCTAAAGACAACTATAAAGAAGATACATGTATTCTTCTAATAATGGCTGCTGACAAAAACCACAAAAAACTGCACTGTACTGGAAGAAGCAGCACCTTACTTTGACCCAGCTCTGCAGCATCTTTATAGATTGGGTGCTTCAGCAGGGCTTTTTGGTGCTTTTATCTAATAGCTTATTCAATCAGCTATTAGATAGAAGCACCAAAAACACCCCACTAAAGTGCTTGATCTATACAGATGAGCTGGGTCCACCTAACGCGATGCCTCTTCTGGGCATGCTCTATCTAGGCTCAAGAGTGTGCTGGGGGTGCACAAGTTTAAAATAAAGCACTGTTTTTTGGTGTTTTTTTCCCAAGTCTGCAAGTAGCCTAGACGTCTGTTTTAGATTGGATCCTTTATCCCACATATCTAAATGGAATTGTTGGATGCTGTCTCCCACAGATAAACTTACAAACTTCTTGTAAATGAATGGGCAGAACAGAGCCTGGAAACTCTGACAGCTCTGCTGAGAAATAATATAGAATATTTTATTAATACTGTATATTCTTTTTGAGACTATGTTAACCTTTAAAGAGATGACAAAATGCATTTATAAAATGATACCTACAAGTACAAGTAATTGTGCCTCTTTTCTACCTAGTATTTGGTCACTATGTCAATATTTAGTGATTGTAGAGGGTAAACATTCTTATTTTTGTGACACAGTTTTTTGGGTAAATATGAGATCTTTTATTAGACCAACTAAATAGTTGGAAAATATCTTCTTTGCAAGTATTCGGGTACAAACACCTTTCTTTGGGTACAGGGAGAGTTTGTTATTGCTTTGTGTACTCTCCTGTGTGGAATAAAGCCAGTATGCAAAATGCAGGTCTGGGGTTATCAGATAGCAGGCAGGTTATACATAAATCCAATGTTGATATTTTATTCAAGATTTTTTATATTTTATATTATTGTTGTGCAATTTCATTTTTTTCATGGAATTTAAATTTAATTCATCCAGTCATTTGTGTTGTTGCAGAGGATCTTGATGATTTAAGAATGGAAGGAGTAACCAGTTTGATGTCTTCTGGGAGCAAATTTAACCAAACTCGAAGTGCACATCCTGTTGAACCTCAGGCAAAGGTCACACTGAACATCTGTGCAAGGTGTGCCAGGTAAGCAAAGCAGACGATACTAACAAGCAGATTCTTAGTCCATTTTCTTAGGTGACTATCGTGATTACCCATGAGCCAGTCAATAAGTTCTCTTTTTTTAAGGACATGTTTTTTGCTCCTAACTATCCTTGGTCATGAAGGGCCAGTTGAGTTGTAGAACCTACACTTATGCATGATACTGCTCATATCAACAATGAATCAAGGCATGTAGGTAATCTTCACCCTTAATTCACAGCTTGAAACTATTTTAAGCCCTTCTCTCTGTTACTTGAGCTTCTGTGGCTTTTCAAAGGATGATTTAGAGAATTTGGAGTTTCAAAACCAATTTAAAGAGCATTGGTATAAATCAAAATTTAGTTGCACAGGTGCAGTTCAAGAATTTAATCAGTTTGATCCCCATTTGGTTTTGGCAGCTGGAAGTAATTTTTGCACTTACAGTATGAGGGCCAAACAACCAGCTTGATATTCCTGAAGCCAAGTCAATTAATAATGTAACACTAGCTGAAACTCTTTAAATTTCTTAGATTCAGTCTTTCTGTATGGACAAAAGCTCATTTGGAAAAAGGAGTTAATCCTGTTTAAATGACAAAGCTAGCCTTCTCACCCTTATGTAAATGGTGCAGATTAACAAGAACAATGCAGAGGTCTGCCAATTTTATCTCCTTGCATTTACCCTTGACTGCTCCATTGTCTTGTTTGAGAGGGGATTAGTAGCCTGTAAATAGGATCAACCTGTGGTGATCTTAAGTCAAAAGTTTGAGCATGTGCCATCCTACTTTTTTATTTTATTTTAAGGTTACCACATTTTAAAAGGCCACTTGTTTAGGGAGTTTCTCTTCAAAGGCTAGGGACAGACATTCAAAAACCATGAACCTAAATTGATTCAATCTTTTCAGGTTACTCTTTGGAGTTTCAAAACCAATTTAAAGAGCATTGGTATAAATCAAAATTTAGTTGCACAGGTGCAGTTCAAGAATTTAATCAGTTTGATCCCCATTTGGTTTTGGCAGCTGGAAGTAATTTTTGCACTTACAGTATGAGGGCCAAACAACCAGCTTGATATTCCTGAAGCCAAGTCAATTAATAATGTAACACTAGCTGAAACTCTTTAAATTTCTTAGATTCAGTCTTTCTGTATGGACAAAAGCTCATTTGGAAAAAGGAGTTAATCCTGTTTAAATGACAAAGCTAGCCTTCTCACCCTTATGTAAATGGTGCAGATTAACAAGAACAATGCAGAGGTCTGCCAATTTTATCTCCTTGCATTTACCCTTGACTGCTCCATTGTCTTGTTTGAGAGGGGATTAGTAGCCTGTAAATAGGATCAACCTGTGGTGATCTTAAGTCAAAAGTTTGAGCATGTGCCATCCTACTTTTTTATTTTATTTTAAGGTTACCACATTTTAAAAGGCCACTTGTTTAGGGAGTTTCTCTTCAAAGGCTAGGGACAGACATTCAAAAACCATGAACCTAAATTGATTCAATCTTTTCAGGTTACTCTAACCTGGCTAGGTTGAATCAGTTTGTAACCACAAAGACATCCCGTCTGGACTGCGGAAATGCTGGCACATGCCTGCAGTAGCTCAGGGTAGAAGCTGGGGGGGTCCTAGAGCAGCCTTCCCTTCCATAGTGCTTAGCTGAGGGAGGCATGGCTAGGCCCTGGCGCAATGCTCTGATTAGGGAGGGGTTCCCCCACCTCGTTCATAACAGAGCATTTATCAGCTCTGATAACAGCATTTATCACCTCATCAGAAAACAAAGCCTCTCTCATTAGTTCAAGCTCTTCTTAAACAACTTTTTCCAAGGAAGGAATGGAGTGACATTACCAGATATGTGTTATTTAGCCTCAAAAAGCCATAAGTGGACACTGTCCTGTCTGCCTTTGTCCTGTCTGCCACAGCACAGACTGGAGCCAGCATGTGGTGTGCTAGCTAATGCTGAGAGGCGTCTGTGTAAGGCAGAAGGGAGGGAGGAATCCCTGCTTAGCAGGGAGTGGTGAGGGAAGGGGGGAGAGGGAGCAGGGGGAAGCCAGGCAGATGTCTGCAATCTCTGCCAGAGCTCCAGCCAGGGAGCAGAGGGGAGGGGCCAGCTCTGCTATGGAGCATGGTGCCAAGCCCAGAAAGCATGCTGGGATGCTGGGGGAGTCTCGTTTAATTTAAACCAGGAAGGGGTCTGGGACAGACATTGCATAAAATGCTTTGACCCAAATCACTTAAGTCTGATACTGCATTCAATCAGGCTTATCTTGAACCAGTTTCAACCATTTTCAAACTGGTTTATGTGCACTGAACCTCTGTTCTGTTACAGGTTTAAACCAAGTTCTGATCACTTAAACTGGCTTATGTGTAATATCTGTCTCTAGCCAAAATGTTTCCTGGTACTCCTAATATATACCCACAGTCATGCTAAATCTCCATGCTATACTGTCCCATCAGCAGGACAGTTCCCAAGACATGGAGCCTTTGAGAATGACATCTCAGTGTGTTGGAAGAGAGGCATTAACTATACTGCCACGTAATTCTTAGAAATTTTGTTATCAAATGTGTGTTAAAAGATAGTATTCCCGACTGTCTTCCTAAATCACAGGGAACAAAATGCTTACATTGTAAATGTTTCAAAACAACCAAATATGTGGAAGTAACTTATTTTCTCAATAGTCTATTCAGAGCACCTGTCAAAGTAAGCTATTGTCTTATGAAAGTTCACACCTTAAAGAGTTAGTCTCTAAGGTGCCATGCTGCCCTACCTTCTGCCTGATTTCAGACTAACACAGCTAAGTACCTCTCATTTTCTCAGCTGGCATAACTTATCTATATATTAAAGGTGATAAATAAATTACAAAACTTTGGGTTTTCCACACACTAGATATTTCTGTGTGGTACATGTACAAACAGAAAAGTACAAGGGATGTATGTCAAAATTTAGCAAGGATCTACTCCAGTGGTACAGAGTTGAAAAATACCTTTGCAAATAGCTTAAATGACAATATTGTGTCAATTACTACATAAGATTATTTTGTCCTATAATTTCACATTCCAATATCTGTTATTTTAAAGTGCAAATATAAGCAGTTCCCTGCTCAAACATCTGGCCCTTGTGGTCTATTGATCAGCCACACAACTGTTATTTGCCATTTAAATTGTTTCTGCCCATGATCAGTGGGCCCATGATCAGTTTTTGAACCAGATGTCTGCTATTGTAGATAAGTTTACACTGGAGTAATAAGTCTATACACTGGTGTAAAAAAACAAAAAGCCACAAACACATGACTTGGAGCTCTAGACCAGCGTAACTTACTTGTGTCTGGTGTCAAATTGTCATGGGAGAAATCAAAAGTGAAGCTATGTTGGTGGATTACCTTGATTCCTGCCATGTGTTCATTTAATGCCATGATCTGCAATCCTAACAATCATACCTCCAACTGTACCACATGTCCGTGGCAGGAGGTGGGATTGTTTGGATCAGGGATCAGGTCCTATTTGTGCCATTACTACTTGCTAGTGCAGGTGGAGCCTGGCATTATAATCCCAGGCACTCCCTGCACCAGCAAGTCCAGGCTTATTTTGGCTCTAGCCCCAGGGAGCCCACCAGGTACTCAAACCTGCTCCAGTGTGGTCTGGGGCTGAAGCTGACAACAGTTGATTGTCAGGGCCAGAGCCAACAATCAGCCTGGACTACTAACCATACCAGAACCAGTTTAAGTCTGCAGTGTGGTGAGCTGACAATCAGCTGATTGTTAGCCCTAGCTGGGACAGCTTTAGGTCCAGTTGCAGACTGTGGTGGTCTGCTGGGACACTGGGATCAGAGGCTTCCGGTTGTTGTGGGGGGGCAGAGCTGAAAGCTTTCTCTCTGGGGTTTTAAAACCCTTCTGGGAGACTTTGGGCATTTATACACATGCTCTGGGAGTTGAGGGGAGTGGTGCTTTAATTAAAACAGCTCTCAGAGCAGCTCTAATTAAGGCACCAGGAGTATCATGTGTATTGGTGCCCCTCTACTAAAAAATGGCAGTGGGGGTGCTTTAACTAAAACTCATTGAACGAGCTTTAGTTAAAGTTCCGTCACCATTTTTCAGTGCAGGGACACTGATAACATGATGCTGGAGTCTGCTGGAGCATAGTAATTACCACGCTCCAACAGACTAGATTAATTGAGTCTTCCCTGACATGCTGTAATTACAATGTGTCGGAGCAGCATCACTGCACGTGTATAGGCAGCCACATGCACCACATTCAGCTCATTCCCCCCATTATAGACTAACCAAATCAGAGGTGCATAAACTTTTGTGATCAACCCTGATGAAGTGAGCTGTTGCTCATGAAAGCTTATGCATATGTGATTCAATTAGTCTAGAAGTTGCACCTCTACCCTGCCTTCTACCTGACTTCAGACTAACACGCAGCTAATTACCTCTCTTTCATTGATCAGTTTCCTTATGTGTGAGAGAGCATTTTTCTCCACTTTATCACCAAGGAGGCAGAAGCTTGAGAAAGGTAGTAATTATCACTGAAGGCCATGTTGAAAGGAAACAACATAATTAATTATTCATTGTTTAATAATAATTTTCCAACTATTTGGGTTGGTCTAATAAAAGATATCAGATTCACCCAAGGAACCTTGTCTGTGAAAGGAAACATTAGCATTTTTGTTTCCAAATCAGTAAGTTGTTAAGGATGCTGTTGGAGTTTCAACTGCTTGTGACAGTGTATGGCAAGAAAGATGCTTTTTTTCTCTGTACACAATAATACAGTGGCTTCCAACCTTTTTAAGTAGGAGATCATGTTCAGCATTTAAAAGTAACCCCCAAGATCTACCGTGCACCCACTGCCACCCCAGCAGGTAAGTCTGTGGGGAGGGAAGTGTGGGGGGAAGATCAAGGCAGAGGGAGAAGAAATTACTTGGGGGCATGCCTCCCCAGCAGGTAAGTCCCAACCAGCTGGGGCACCACTCAACTTACCCCTGCTCCTGCCTCTGCAGTTTTGTCCCTCACTGGAGGGGGCCTC